AGCCCTGGTCCTGTTCTCAAGTGAGAGAACAGTCATTAAACAAACATGCTTGTTTAACTGGACATCCTTTTGGGAAAGAAAAAAGAACTTCAGCCATTAATTTGCATCCTATATAAAAACAAAACCAGATCATAGCCCTAAGCATTAAAGCTATAACTATAAAACTTTTTAATAAAAAAGATGAAAAATGTCATGACCTTGAGGTAGGAAAAAAATCAACAGGATTTTACCAAAGGTAGAAACGTCTCTTTGAAAAACACCCCTACAAAATGAAATTAAAAAAAAGAAAAGAGAAGAAAAGAAAAAGAAAAAGAAAAAGAAAGCTACAGATGGGAACAGACTGGTGTTGCCAAGAATGTGGAGACAGAGGGGCGTGGACCGGCCAGGGAAGGTAGACTGGTACAGCTGCGGGAGTAAACAGTGCGGAGGCTCCTAAAGAAATTAAAACTGGAGCTGCCACGGGGTCCAGCCACGGCTCCCTTGGGGACATCCGTAACGATGGCAATATGAGATGGCCTCCTCTGCAAGGTCTCTGCACCTGCACGCTCACTGCAGCAGTGTCACCGGACCAGGACAGGGCACAACTGACAAATGAACTGGTGGGGAAATGTGAGGAGTGTCTTGCAATATTCTGCAGCTGAAGAAGAAGGGGTTCCCACCATGTGCCAAGCATAGAGGACACTATGGTATGCGGAAGAATTCAAAACTCCCGAAGAGAAAGAGGATGATCTTTCTAGAAAGCTACCAGTGAAAAACTGGATGTCTAGAAACAGCAAACACAACTGTGGTTCCTTCAGGTGGGGGAAGCAGGGGGCATACAGTCCAAGGAGCACGGAGGTGCAGTTATATAGGATGAGAAAGCCGGAGATATAATGCATAGCACAAGACTGTAGCCAATAACACTGTATCATACACTGGGAATGTGCTAAGAGAGGGTCTTAGGTACTCACACCACAAAAAAAAGGAAGGAAGAAGGAAGGAAAGAAGGAAAGGAGGGAGGGAGGGAGGGAGGAGGGAACGCAGGCAGGCAGAGAACTACATGAGATGAGATGTTAATTAGCTTGACTATAGTAATTATTTCACTATGTACATCAAGATAAATATATCAAAATATCATATATACCTTAAATATATACAGTTGAAGTTCAAAATTAACTAAATAAAATTTTTAAGTTTAAAAGAGAAAAAAATATTTTCAGCACATATCTCAGACACTGGACTTCTATTTAAAATACATCAAGGACGTTTACAACTCAGTAATAAAATGACAAGCAATCCAACATTTTAAAAAGTGGGCAAAAGATCTGAACTGACCATTCACAAAAGAAAACAAATAAATGGCCAGTAAACAAGAGCTGATGACCAATATCATCAGTCACCAGAAAAACACAAATTTACATCAGAATACTGCTTTACATCCAGGAGAACGGGTAAATTAGAAGCAATGAAAATAGTGAGTGTTGCTGAGAAAGCGAAGCTGCTGGGATTCTCATACACTGTTGGTGGGAATATAAAATATGCAAACACTTTGTAAAACCGATGAGCAGTTCCCAATAATCATACAACTAGACAAATGCCGTGTCTGTACAAAGGTTTATACACAAATATTCATAATTACCGAAGGCTTGGAAATACCACTGTACAAGAGGAGGAACAAAACCATCCATACATCAGAATACTCCTCCACAGTAAAAGCGGAACTACTGATATATACAACATGCAACGATTCTCCAAACCTTCATCAATGATGAGCGATATGGGAGTGATTGTATATGATTCCATCTATGGAAAAACCTAGGAAGGAAAATCTAGCCATGTGATAGAAGGTTGGTCCTGTTGTCTGAGGCCGCGCCAGGGATGGGGCTGGGGACTGACTGCACAGAAACAAGAGGGAACTTTTGTGGGGATTAACGTGTTCTGAATCCTGATTATTGTGCTGGTTATGTACCAAGAGTCGCCAAGCTATATATGTAAAATTCATTAATGTAAATGAGACATCAATGGAGTGACTAAAAATCCTCAGGATTCATCTTTTGTTGAATCCTCTGGGCCTCTTATTACTATGAATGTGGATGCTTTATTTCTTCCAAAGCATGATTAAAAAGTTATGTTTACTGGTAGGACATGGTGAACGTTAGAAATTAATTCAACATTGGTGGGGTCAAATCTGCTCCTTTACAAGGTGAAAGATCAGGTCCTGGAGAAGGAAGGACTTGTCCAGGGACACAAGGCGATGCAGATACTGACCACAGGGTGCTTTGAGCCTGTAGAACTGAAAACAAATGAGCAGCCAGCTTGCCTTCTACCAGTCCCTCTTTTTTTCCCCAAGCTGGATCATGAGAGATCTGAGTTGCTACTGAGTGAGGCCAAAACAGAGGACAGGGAGCTACAGGTGCACTGGGTCTGACGTGCCTTCTAGCTGAGACATCCGGCCCAGGAGTGCAGCCCTTGGCAACCGTGAGGGTCCTGAGAGCTGCCCACAGCTCAACTCTCTCCATCCTCATGGTGGTCCTTCCCGCCTCCCTGGTCCTCGGGGGAATGACTGAAATCACAGCTGTCTGTGCTCCCCACTAGGACTTATGGTGTTGGAAGTTCCAGCCAGCACAATAAAGCAAAGCAAGGAAATAAAGAGTAGTAAGATTAGAAAGGAAGCAATAAAGAGACTCCAATTTGCAGATGATAGTCTACATAGAAAATCCCAAAAATTCTACCAAAAAAAAAATTCCAAGGACTAATAAGTTCTAGGTCACAGTATACAGGATAAATGTACAGAATCAATGATTTGAATATAAGCATCCTTGCAAAACTGCTAGAACTCAGACCCCAGGAGATAGAATTAAGAGGTGATAAGCAGTAAGTCATGGATGAGATTAATACCCTTATAAGAGAAACTTCATATGGTGTTCATCCCTTGCACCCTTCCCTCCCTTCTGCCATCAGAGAAGACAGCAACTGTCCCCTCCAAGGATGAGCAGCAAGATGTCTTGGAAGCACAGTGGGCCCTTGACAGACCCAGTCCCCCAGGGACACCTTGACCTTGGACTTCCCAGCCTCCAGAACTGTCAGCAATACATTCCCATGTTTGACAAATTTCCTAGCTCGTGGTATTTTGTTATAGCAGCAGGAACAAATTAAGACAAATACCATTTATAATCACTGAGAAGGGAAAAAAGAAAGAAAGAAAGAAAGAAGAAACACATAGGTATAAATTTAACAAAGTTTTTTAGTATTTATACTGAAAACAATGTAACATTGATGGGAATAGAAGATCTACATAATTGGTCACACATACTGTGTTCATAGATTTGAAGAAGCAATACAGTAAAGATGTGATCTCTCCCCAGTTTGATATATAAAGTTAACATAATTATACATGCACACATATCCTAAGATTTATATGGGAACGATAAAGAGTAGGTTAAATAATTTTGAAAAAATAAGAAAAAGTAGGGCGAGTCTGTCTACCTGGTTTTAAGACTTATGTAGTTATAATAATTGAGCTGGCGTGGTATGTGGCAGAGTGATAGACACTTAGACCAATGAAACAAAATAGAGAACCTAGAAATAGACCAACATAAATACGCTCAACTGGTTTTTGACAAAAATATAAAAGCAATTTGGGAGAGGAAAGATTCATTCAATAAATGGTGCTAGAACAAGTGGATATCTTCTACTGAATCTGTTTTTTGTTTTTGTTTTTGGTACTGAGATTGAACCGAGGGTCTTGGTTTTGAGCTAAGTCCCCACCTCTTTTTCATCTTTTAAGGTGAACTTGGACTTGTGATCCTCCTGCCTCAGCCTTCTAAAGTGTGTTACCAGCTGATATATAAAATTAGCTATCACAACACCAGGTGCAGCAAGGACGTGTAGAAAACCATTGTGTTTTGCTCATGATGACATGAAATAGTACCATCACTGTGGAAAACTGTTGAGCAGTTTCTTAAAAAAGTGAAAAATGTAGCCACATGAGATGGCCTATGTCTATAATCCCAGCCACTTGAGAGGCTGAGGTAGGAGGATGGAAAGTTTGAGATCAGCCCCGGCAACTTGGCAAAACCCTGTCTCAAAATAAAAATAATTTTTAAAAAAGCCTGGGTAGAACACATTCTGAGCACACGCAAGGCCCTCAGTTCAATTCTCACAACCGCAAAAAACAGAAAATAAAACAAACCAAACCTCCGAAAGATGCAACTACCCTGTAACCCAGCAACTGAATTCCCGGGCATTTATCCCAGAAAAATGAGGACCTGTTCCTACAAAAACCTATACATGAATATTTATAGCAGCTTTATTCATAAGAACCAAGTGCAGAAACAACATAAATGTCCTATAACAGGTGAATGGTCAGTCAAACTGGTACATCCATGAAATAGAATCCGACCCGGCAACAAAAAGGGACAAAGTGTAGACACAGTAGCCCTTGATGAGTCTCCGGCAACCTGCGCTGACCCCCAAGGCCATGTACTGCAAGGATCCACTGTGTAACATTTGTGAAATGACAAAATCATGGTGGTTGCCAGGCACTAAGGGGTGGGGTGGAGCTGGAGTGGAGTAGGGCCGGCCCTAAAAGAGCAAGGAGAGGGGCGCTGGTGACTGAAGCACTCATTGTGCTCACAGGGTCCATGTCTGTACTCTGGCAGTGACAGTGCGCCATCGCTTGGCAAGACATCACCCCTGGGAGAGCAGGGTCCGGTGTACCAAGCTCTCTATGCTGCCTCACAACTGTATGTGAACCCACTGTCACTTCAAGATTAAAACTTTCATTTTCAAGAGCCATCATGAGGGGCTGGGGATTTAGCTCAGCGGCAAAAGCGCCTGCCTGGCAAGCACAAGGTCGTGAGTTTGGTTCCCGGTACCGGAGAAAAACCAAAAAAAAAAAAAAAAAAAAGAGCCATCGTGGAATAACCTCAGCAAAAGATTTGCAAGCTCCGCACATAAGAATATTACCATTTATTATTATTTTACATCTCAGGATTGTATTTCTTCATGCTGTTCTCTTTTTCTAAATTTTTATGTTTATTAGTACACGTTGGCAGTACATAATGATTACTCTCCTCACCATGGGGAGTTAGTGCATGTACGTAATGCATCTTAATCCTTTTTACCTCTCCTTCCTCTCTCCTCCTTCCGTCTCTTAAATAGAGATACATCATCTGCTTCCAGAGAAATATTCATGATCTTCAAGATGGCGATTATCCCCCAAAGAGTTGAGACAATGGGATCCAGTCCAGTCTATTTCAAGGAGCCCATGAAGTAATTCCAAAACATACCCAGAAGAGTACAAGGTCAAGAGTAGCCAAGAAACTCCTAAAAAAGCACAGAGTGAGGACACCTGGCTGGCTGTGCTTTGGTTAGTCTCATAGGACAGTAACTGAGTCAGAATAGCGCTAGTGTTGGAGCTGATGAACCAGACCCAGCCTTGTGCAGACACCCTGAGAACAGGCCAGTGTGCTCAGTCAGGGGTGGGAATGATGGATTCTTCCCGTGGGGAAATGGGCATTGCTTCCTGGCCCTGTACTTGAAAGACTCCGTGATAAGAGAGCTGAAGAACAGAAAGAAAAATAGTTTCTTAGGATATTACTTTTATGAGTGGGACAGGATAATATCTTTATGGTCTCAAAGATTTCTTGAACAAAGGCTAACTGTCAAGGAAAATAGTGTAAATTTTGATGAAATTAAAATTGAGAATGCCTGTCTATGAAAACATAGAGTGAAAGGAAATACAAAAACTGAAAAAGCTATTTACAACACCTAGACACAGCAAGATTAGCATCTAAACTACACAGATACTTTTACAGAGTCAGAAGAAAAATATCAACAACCGAATTTTAAAGAGCACTTTATGAAAGGTGTCTCTTACCTGAGGAAGTGTGACATTGGTCCACATAAAATGCTTAACGTCATCAGTCTTCAGAGAAACGAGGATTCAATCCGAATGAAGCACTGCTTCATCGTACCACACTGGCAAGAATAAAGAGTCTAAACACACAAGGTCTTGGTGAAGAAGTGGAGCAATAAGAACTCATGCTTGCTACTGGTAGGATAGTACAATGGGTAAAAACTCCTTGAAAATTGGAAAGTGGCTATTTAGTAAAAATGCGGATGATCTGAGCACATGCCCCAGCAGTTTTCTTCATAGCACATTCTCTGCATCAAGAGACAAGTTTAAGAATGTTCGTAGAAGCACTGTTTTCTCTAGCAGAATATCTGGAGTTCATGCACATATCCATCGAAAGGCTGGTGCGTCCACACAGCATGCTGCAGACCTTCAGCTGCACAAACACTTAATGCTGATTTAAAAAGGGGGAGCAGCAGGGAAGAATATATCAAAGAACCACTTCGCTTTTCCGTAGAGGATTAAAGCAGGTAAACTATAAGGAAAAGCAAGAGCAACAGTAAGAGGAACACTTGGGATAAAAGAGACCTTGAATAGCAGGGCAGATAGGAGATGCTTTTGGAGTCAGTCCCACCAGACTTTGAAGACTGTTGCTTATCCTTCAATTCGTTAAAATACAAGGGGCTTTATCATTATTTAAATTGCACATACATTGTGTGTATGTCCTTCCAAGTATGCGAGACGTCAGCCTAAAGCACGTCATGTTTTCACAGCAGGCAAGGAGACCCGGAAGGTCCTGTGCAGTGGCCAGGCAGGTGGCAGGTGGGGGGAGGCACAGGCCTGGCTGAGGCCTGGGTCAGAGGACTGGTGTACGGGCCGGTCTGGAAGGTTTGGATATCCCTGTGGAGAAGGAGGAGGCAAAGCAAGATGAGGGAGGAGAGAGGAGGGTAAAAAAGAAGGGAGGAGAGGGGAGAGGATCAGAAGGAAGCAGAAAAAAAAAAAAAAAAAGCCAGCAGGGGGTTAGTAAGGTTCTGGCCCTGGCCCCGGCACCATCGGGCTGCTGGATGACCTCGAACGCCTCCTCCATCTCTCCACTCAACAGCTTCGGATCTATGACAAAGTCCAGGAGTCCCTGGTTGCCTCCCTCACAGGGTGTCCCAGGCTCAAAACAAGCACACTGAGTCCTAGGAGAGCCACCCTCAGAGGGGACCAGGTAACACTCACTGAGACCCTTGAAGCACAGGGTGTGCCCTTGGAAAAAAGGGCACACTCCATCCACCTGCCTCCCAGCCTGGGGTGTCCACAAGTACGCTTGCACACCTCTAGGCCCCTCTGCTGCTCCCCCCATTTCCGCTGTGGCATCAGCGTGGCTTGGCTTTTAAGGGTACCAGTTGCGCAGGTAGTGCACGGTGCATTCCTACGGACGTCACCCACAGCCCAGCCATGTTAGAGCTCACCGTGTCCTGCCCTACAGGACATCACTTTCAATTCTTGGGTTCTGTAAATCTTCACTTTGTAGACAAGAAAATCCAGCTTTAAAGTGATACTGACTTGCCCAAACCACAAGGAGAAACTAGATTTCAAACTTTGTTCTGCCCAGTTCCAGATCCAGGAGCACACTGGACACTGGGTGCAGAGTTGGCACAGAAAGCTGAGTCCCCCTCCTCACCCAGATCCTGGTCCTCAGGCTCCAGAGCAAAGCGCGCCGGCCCCAGGAAAACACTGCCCAGGGCCCCTGGAGGGTCGGGGTCCACTGCACAGAGCGGGGCACCAACACGGAGACAGGGGCTGCAGGCTGGTTGTTGGGCCCACCCCAGTCCTCAGCTTTCCCACGAGGCCCACGCAGACAGCGGGTGGCGGCCAGGCCCTGCCCCGGGGGTGGGGTTGGGAGCGGTCACGTGGAGGGGAGCAGGGCTCCCCCCCAGCCCCGCCCCGGTCCCACCTCCGGCCCCGCCCCGGCCCCGCCCCCTCGCCCTCCGCAGCGGGAGCCCAGCGACAGCCGGGGGCACCGTGTGGGCTCGGGGCGCCGCCACGCCGGGGCTGGTGAGGTCTGCGCGGGGGTCCGGGAGCGCCTGCTCGTTGCTCGACCTGAGCCCGGCGGGCGGTGTGGACAGCTGGAGCAGCCCCAGCAGCAGGGAGGACTCGAGCGCGGGCGGCGGCCCGAGCAGCGGCGACACCATGGATCTCTCTTTTATGGCCGCACAGGTAACGGGGTTCGCCTTCTCCGCGAGCCCCGGTCGCCGAGTTCCAGGAGGCGCCAGGTCCCGCCTCCCCCTCCCGGCCGGGTCTGCGCGCCGGCGCCCGCCCTGGATCCGCGTCCTGGTCCTTTGTCCCGAGCCCAGCGGCCCCACCTGTGCGCGCGCCCGATGTGGCGGGCTCAGCCCCCCTACGGGGTGGGGCGCCGGGCCCCCTGGCACCCCGTGTGCGGGGCCTCCTGGAGCAGAAGGCTTCTAGGAACCCGGGCAGCCGCCGGCACCACCGCCTCCCACCCCACCCCCACCCGCTGTGCCCTGTGGGACCCTGGAGCCACCCAGGCAGGCGAGCGCGGCCCGGGCGAGTGGGCCACCCGGCTGTTCCATGTCCTGTGTTGCGCGGGTAGTCTGGGGCCGCCCCCTGTGAGTGAGGACCGTGGCCCCTGCTGCCTGAGGGAGGCAGTGGGAGCCGCTTTGTTACCTGCCAAGCATCGAAGCCCAGGGATCCTTTTATGCAGTTTTGCTTGGAGCCGCGTCTAACAGCCATCGGTGCCCGGCAGGACCACAGTCCTTCCCTGCGCGCAAGCTGGGGCAGGGGAACAGTTGGCCTCCCCCCACCAGCTCAGCTCGGCAGAGCTTCCCCCTGGGCTCCCAGCTCTGGTGGGTACTGCATTTCTGGCCTCAACTCTCTGGAGCCAGAACAAAGGCAGAGCCTTCGGAGCAGCGTGTGGCCCCTGGGGAGCCTCAGTGCGGACGGCAGGCGGGCTCCAGGGACAGTAAGCTCCATCTACCAATCGGGCCTTGCATCTCCTGTGGTTGTGGTGCTGGCTTTGGGAGCCAGAGGTGGGGAGGCCGCCCAGGCCCCCTTCTGTCCCCTGGGTGTATGGCAGGAACCCCACCTGCTGCTCTTTGCTATCATTGGAAGGAAGTTTGAGGGGACACTTTTCCCCAACTTCACCTGTGGTAGGAGCCTGTTTAAAATGGATGAACAACATCCAGGCCGTATGTGGGTGGCACATCCCGGTGGGGAGGCGTCAGAGGACGCGGAGTCCCCACGTCTGCCCTGGGGAGTCCAGATCCCAGCTTTTGTCTGACCCTTAAGGAGTTTTCCAAATGCTAATTGCCCCTAGGAGTATTGCTGGTCCTTTTTCTGCCTGATCTTCTGTCTCCTGTTCCTGAACCCAGGCTTATAGATATCGTCATGTAAAAAAAGTCATCATTCTTGTAGACAGAGGTGGCTTTAGCTCTGTGATAACTGGGGGTGTTTTCCGGGATTTATTTCTAGGGGGAGAGGCGCTTACCAGGTGTCTGTGGCTGGCTTCCCCTCTGCATAACCCCCTAGCATTTCCATGGTTACAGGGTAAATTGATCATTGTTCCTGGAGGATCAACAGTTGCTATGGTGACTTGACAAAATAAACACAGGGCTTTTCAGCACCGATGGGCAAAACCTACAGATAGACCGAGTTCTTTCATTATTATTATTATTATTATTTATTATTATTATTATTATTAATTTCAATTTACGCTCCCTTGGTCAATTTTTTTTGCCAACAGATGCTTGGCGTTGATTACATGCTAAGTACTGTGCTAGCCACAAGGAGCAGAAACATGAAGTGATTTACCAGTGGAAAATGTGCCAAGGTTTACTGAGCATCTACTTCTTGCCAGATGCAGGCTATTTAGCACACTTTAATGGTGTACACCCCCTCCAGTCTGTTCTTCCTATTTTACACCTTTGATGCCAGGCTTCAGCAAGATTAAATCATTTACCTAAGGACACTGTTAGTAAGGAGAACGTGTATCAGTTCTAGGCCGGAGTATCTACTCAGGGAAGTTCTGGGTCTCCACCTCCCCCCGGAAGCGGTCTTGATACAGGAGAAATGGAACTCCCAACCTGCTAGATGTCAGATGTGCCCAGTCGTGTCCCCTGAAATCAAAGAATAAATTCTGAAGAACAGTGGCGGTTAAGAGTAGGAAAGATTTATTGAGCAGTAACACCTAGATTTCCAGGAGGGGTCCCTTGGGTGGCCACCAAGGACCTTTGTCTGGGGTAATTTATGCAGAAAAATGTGGGTTCATCGTGGTCAAACTATAAACAACCTGTAGGATGACAAGCATAGCTGCTTAGCTAATATTGATCCAGTAGGGAAGCAGGTCTCCTACCAAGGGACCATGCAAAGAACAAAGGCACATTTTGGGAAAGGGGTGGGCCTGGATGCTGTGGTCATCACCTGGGTGACTGATGGCTAGCTGGACTTCCTGGACCAGGTGGGGCTCGTTACAGGATAACTCCAAGTTACTGCTGATCCTTAGGCATGCAGGCCTAACCATCACATTATCTTGAGGCCTGGTCTTCTTCAGATGCACCTCCAGCCACAGTTCTGATGTCTGTTTTTTCTGCTGACTTTCTTGAGAGCCCAGTCCCTCTCTGACTGTGTATTTATTTCTGTCTAACTTAGCTACTTATAAAAGCCTCCCTGTGGCGCCTTTCTCAAGGCCGCAGGCCACTGGGCAGTGCTAGGATGGCTCTCTGGTGGGGGACCGTGCAGTGCTTGTCCTGAGCAGGTACTCACTCTCCGCTCAGGTGTGTGCGGTGACCACCTGGCTGAGTGGCTGTCCCTGTCCCCTCACTCCGCCTCTTTTTCTGCAGCGGGGAGTTATAGAGAAAAGTCCATGTGTCCCCCAATTCCTCAGTGTTGCTTACCTGCCTTGTATAGAGCTCTTACCCAGGCACCAGGATGAGGACTCTGGGGCCCGGGGTTGAAAGGAACACAGGTTTGCTTTCCGGTGCTTGCAGATGTTGGACACGAGATGGATCAGCAAGGGCAATGAATCAAGTTCTGGGCAGGCAACACGCCTGGCTCAGAGTGGCTCCTCAGCTGGTGGGTGCATGAGGACACGATGGGATGTGTGTCCAGGAAAAGAGGGAATACGAGGTGTCCAATGGGAATGCCTGTCATCCTTAGGGCTTTGGGAATGGGGCTGGAGATCGATTAGGACTATGGGCAGGTTTCCTTGGTGGTCCTGCAGATGAGAGTGTTCTAGGAGGAGAGACGGGGAGGTGGGGAAGCCCAGGAGACGCAGAGAGCTAGTGGGTAAGGGACACAGCAGGGGTGGGAGAGAGAGAGGCCGGGGCAGGTTATAGAAGCTCACATTTAACCAGGGTGGTGGGAGCCATAGTGAGTTATGGAGCAGGGGAATGGAATATAGTTGAAGCAGTGACTTGGAAACATCTCCGCCCCATGCAGGATGGAAGCTGCAGGAATGGGTGGGGTCGGGAATGCACATTTGTGTATTAACTGATGAATGGAACGAAACCAGGTCCATGTGACTTCAAAGCCCAAGCTTCTTCTCTGTCTTCGTGTTAAGTATAATTCCTGTTTGTGGTTTAAGACGCAGAGCACAGAGCCGCTTTAGAAAGCTTTGCGTCTCCCATGCTGAACATTTAAGGGACGTCCTGCAGGGATGTGCCATGATGACAGCAGCTGCCTTCCCTGGGGGTGAAGACTGGGTGTTCAGCCACTTTTCCCAGCACCCTGGAACCACCCCAGGCTCACTGAGACCCCGGAGGGCCAGGGAGAAGTCCCACCTGCTACTCCAGGGAGAAACTGCGTGGACTCTGGAGCGGGGCCTCGTGTTCCTGTGGTTTGGTCCACACTGAGGCCGGGAGTGTTGACCCACCGAGCAGGGCTCACCCTTTTGTCTCTGCTGGATGAAACAGTCCTTGGCTCTCTGGTCTGTCCTCAGTCACAAAAAAATCACTTGGCCGCAGGAAGTCAGCAAATACAACATCAATTCAGCAACTTAAAATACAAGTCCAGAGAATGTAACCTTGGGACTTGCTCCAAAATGAAGGTCCCTGCCGGGCATGGTGGCGCTTGCCTGTAATCCCAGCACTTGGGAGGCTGAGGCAGGAGGATCGTTGTGAGTTCGAGGCCAGCCTGGGCCACAAAGTGAGCTCAAGGCCAGCCTGAACTGCATAGTGAGACCTCGTCTCAAAAAGACAAAAAATAAATAAATAAATAAACAAACAAAATTAAGGTCCCCTCCATGACCTTACCTGCTATGCATGCAGAATGTTGCATTTCGCACATTTTTAAGCAAAGACTTAAAGTAGTTGCTGTTAGTTTCCAAGGGGTGCTATGACAAATAACCACAAACCAGGGGGCTTAAGACAATGGAACTGTATTTTCTCATAGTCCTGGGAACCTGAGGTCCACACTGAAGGTGCAGCTTGCCAGGGGCTCTATACAGACCCTGGGAGTGAACGCATTTCCTGCCTGCCTCCTGGCTACAGACTGTGGCCAGCAATCTTCGGCCTGAGATGTGTTGCTACAGTTTCTCCCTTGAATATCGTGTGGCCCTCTGTGTGTGTCTCTTCTTCTGAGGACACCAGACTTCCTGGCTTAAGGCCCACTCGCATGACCTCATCTTGATGGCATCTGCAGAGACTCTGTTTCCAAGTAAGGTCATGTTCAAAGGTACTGGGGTTAGGATGGAATGTGTATCTTTTGAGGGGATGCAATGCGATATATAACAGAATCTGAGGACCATAAAGGATGAGAGCATTGGCTCTTGCATTCCTGGACACTGGTCTTAGAGATGCGTTGAGCAGATGGCTTCTCTAAACCTCAGCTTCATCATCTGCAAGATGAGAATGAAATGCTATCCAATTTGGTCATTCAGCAAATGTGCCCCTGTTTGGAGTGCTGGGGTCAGGAGGCCTTGACCTGGTCCTTGCTGGGAGGTAAATGCAGGTGCTGGGAGCCCGCAGGGATGCCTCACCCGGTGCAGGAGGTGGGGGAGGCTTCCCCAAGTTGTTTGAGCTAAATTTGATCTTGTGTAGCTGAGATGGTTTATATCCAGAAGTTCCCTTGAAGCCTCATTCAGTCATGGCGGGACCTTACTTAGGTGGGATTATGGGGGAGGTATAGTTGGCTTGCTGTTGAGAGGAGGGCTCGGTCAGAGGCCATGCCATGAGCAGCTCTCCTCTGCCGTGCCCCTGTGCCAT